AGGGAACAATCGCTGGAGAAGGATGTCATGCTGGGTAAGATGGAGGGTCAGAGAAAAAGAGGATGACCCCTAATGAGATGGATCAGCCAGGTGGCATCATTGATGGCATCCAGTGTGACGGCGGTAGTGAGGATGGCCCAGGATCGGACATTGTTTCGTTCTGCTATGCATGGGGTCACTATGAGTCGGTTCCGACTCGATGGCACCTGACCACAACAACAACGTACTCGTAAAAATATGTGGATTTTTGCTTCAGACTCCTTTCACTTAAAATGTTGAGGTCTTTTGATATAGTAGCATGCATCAGTTTTGGATCCTTTTGTATTGCTGAATAGTATCCATTGAGCACGATTTTTATGTTCCAATGTGCATCTTTCTCTTTAGCACTGAATCTTTGGTCTTTCCACTCGTTAAAAATGTAATAGCTATTTCTAGGTCATTTTAATGACTGTAGCAATTCTATACTGTTTCTCTACTTTCAAACTATCCTCAACTTTATATGGATTGGTCCTTTTAAGGGCTGTCTTTGAGCGTTGCTTGTTGTTGTTAAGTGTGATTCATAGTGACCCTGTATAGGTTTTCAGAGAAGTAGCAGGTGGGTTTGTACTGCTGGTTTGAAGTCCAGTGCTGATCCTACAGTGACACCCACACCAGGTGTCCTTTCATATGCATACAGAATTTCCCAGTAGAAAAATGGCTCTTTTCTTCCCACATAAAAGCAACATGAAATGTTTTTACAGTGAACAGATTTAAGAATATATGATCTTCATTTTTGTTGCAAGTATATTCAAAATCAGTGTCAGTCACCACAATAATTCAATATATTGATTTTATCTGCTATTAACGTATACTTTGTGCTATTTAGTGACTCACTGTTGGCCAACTATTAATTAAAATATGGATACATATGGTTAATGTAAGTATAAATATAAGATGAAATTACCTTTTGCCGAGGAGAACACACTCTATAATATATAAAAATTTGAACTTTTTATGGCTTTATAAATTCTGCTTTGGCTTTCCAAAGAATAATGACAAAAAATAATATGTCCAATTGTTGTTGCTGTTGTTGTTATGTGCTGTGGAGTCTGATCCGACTCATAGTGACCCTGAACAGGGCTCCGGGGCTGGAAATCTTTACGGGAGCAGAAAGCCTCATTTTTCTCCCGCGGAACAGCTGGTAGTTTCAAACCGCTGACCTTGCGGCTTGCAGCCTGACTCGTAACCACTACGCTACCAGAGCTCCTTAATATGTCCAATATGAACATTTAAATTTTAATTCGTATTTGTTTCTTTAGCATTTGTGGAATCCAGCATCTTGAACGAATAGGAAAGAAACTGAATCTGTTTGATTCCCTTTATTTCTGCATTGTGACATTTTCTACTGTGGGATTTGGAGATGTCACTCCTGAAACATGGTCCTCCAAGCTCTTTGTTGTTGCTATGATCTGTGTTGCACTTGTGGTTCTACCCATACAGGTAAATATAACCTTGTTAAATTTTATATAACGGGCAAAATATTTATGAAACCAAATAATGCACATTGAATAAGAAATACAATCTGATTTATTTATCCTGCAGTAATATATTAACATGTTATTATTGTATCTTACCAGTCTATTAACATTATCTCAGAAATGTCTTTTTACATTATATAACAAATCTGAGAGGTTTGGTTTATTTTTCCCCCCTTTTTCTTCCAGTTGCCACTGATACGGCACATCTATTTTCAGTTCTTCAAAATGTTTTCTTATAAATATAGAATATCAGATATATTGTTTAACTGTATTATAGGATAACATTGTTTTTACTATAGAATGATAGATCATGGAAGTATATTTGAGAAAGAATGATTTTCTTCATTCTTGAATAATCAACTTAAAAGATACATATTATAAGAAAATATTCATTGCATACCAATTACATATCAAATATATCCATATCAAAACATTTGAAACCTTATACATCAAACAAAATCTGAAGAGAATATGTAAATATATGCATCATTTTGGGGAGTGCACCAGGGGGTTGTAAAAGAACAGAGATATAAAATGAGATTAAAAATATATAGATGAAATTTCCAGCCCTTTTCTAAACTGAGCCTTGTGTGCCCATGAGTTGGCAAGTCAAAAATGCAGTATATAGCCAATGTAAATTAAACCTGCATGTTTAATTACACAACCTTTGGCCTTAATTTGTTGAAATACATTTCACATAGGTACAGCAATGATGTTCTCACATTCCTTTCCATTCTTTGCATTGCTTCTCTCCTAACATCCTTCACTTCTCTCCTAACATCCTTCTTGGCTATCTGCTTCTCTGCAGCTAGAATATAGCCTCATGTCTTATGGTAAGGGTATCTCCCATTATTAACGTGGGCTGAAGTTAACACAAGCATTTGGACAAAATGCAGATGAGGCTTTTTTCCCTCTCTCAACAGATGATATATCAGGGATACACATTTTACTGGACATAAAACAGATGCACAAACCTCTTAGTAATCTGTTTTAATATAATAGGGAAATCATGGTAATATGTTTCCTTAGAGACCTGAAGCTACTGGGAGGCATTTGTAGCCTCTTCAGCAATCATATGAAATGTCTTTTGTTGAAGGAACACTGATCATTCTAATCTCAATGAGTTCCATCTATCTAATAAACAATAGATATATTGCATTGATTTTTATTTTCATGTCCGGTGTTTTTCATTCACATGTAAAAAATGTATTACAGTTTGAACAGCTGGCCTATTTGTGGATGGAGAGACAAAAGTCAGGTGGGAACTATAGTCGACACAGAGCTCAAACTGAAAAGCATGTTGTTCTGTGTGTTAGTTCACTGAAGATTGATTTGCTTATGGATTTTTTGAATGAATTCTATGCTCATCCAAGACTCCAGGTACATTTCAAGTATATTATGTATTGCACTGAATCATACCTAGTAACATATTGTCAAACTCAGTTAATGATGGTGCAGCTTGCCTTCTGGAGGATTGACATTTATACGAACATTTAGAAAAGAATAAATGAAGAACTGCAGTTATAACTGAGAACATAGAAAAATTCTGGAGAATACACAGAATTTTAAGTTTCCGTCTGTATTTCTGCTGAAAAGACAGATGGAATTATGTTAATGTTGCAAAGAAAGGGCTTTCTATGAATTAAAATGATTGCTTTTTTCCCCCCTTGGGTAGAGCATAAATCATATTTTTATGAAACTGAATTTTAACATAATATACATGTATAATAAAACAAGGACACAGCCATTTCAATAGCATCTGCTCACTTAAATACTTCAGAATTTTTTCTAGTGTTACTAATGGAAAATTGGATATTCCATTGTTGTTTTTGTTTCCTCCACTTGCCAAGGTATTTGGGCCAGTGTAAATTGAGACTAATGTCTCTCCTGTTTTAAGTACATAGTCTAGTCAAAACAGGAAACAGTTATTTGAAAGTCTTGCATAACATTCGTGAATTTGTCAAAAGTTTGGATGATATTCGCAGAGCAAAATAGTGCTGCATATATCTAATTATCCTTCTGAAAATAAAGTATAAAACATTTTTGAGACCTTTTAAAATAGCATTTTGTTTCTGAAAAAGTCTAATTTATGAGTAGGTTTAAATTATATAATATGTTCTTTTCTTGTCATAAATGCATTTTCATTTTTCTTTAAGCAAATCTGTTTACTGGTTGTGGTTTTCAAAAATTAATGGACATATTTGTATTGAGAGATTTACAATTTGAACATGTTATTCCATAAAGAATACCTATTTGGGAGAAAATTTGATCCCAGAAATGATCTTAGAAATATACTTTGTCTAATATCAAGATGTTAATTGCAGTGTATATCTGTTGTTGTTAGGTGCCATCAAGTCAATGATGACTCATAGTGACCCTATGCACAGCAGAATGAAACACTGCCTGATCCTGGGCCAACCTCACTATTGTTGGTACGCTTGAGTCCGTCGATGCTGCCACCTGGCCAACCCATCTCATTGGGGGTCTTCCTCTTTTTCTCTGACACTCTTCCTTACCAAACATGATATCCTTCTCCAGCGACTGGTCCCTCCTGACAGTATGTCCAAAGTATGAGAGACAAAGTTTGGCCATCCTGGCCTCTAAGGAGCACTCTGGCTGCACTTCTTCCAAAACTGATTTATTGGTTCTTTTGGCAGCCCATGGCATTTTCAATATTCTCCAAAACCATGATTCAGAAGCATCAATTCTTCTATGTCTTCCTTATTCACTGTCCAACTTTTGCAAGCATATGAGGTTACTGAAAATACCATGGCTAGGGTCAGGTGCACCTTAGTCCTCAAGCTGACATCTTTGCTCTTCAACAGTTTAAAAAGGTCTTGTGCAGCAGATTT